ATTACCCAATTTAACGTCAGGGTCGACGCTACCGATAGATGCCCATGAGGCGTAATCATTACAGATTACGCAGATTCCTCAATCTATCTAGCTTCGGCAGCGTGCTAGTAGACATCATTGGGGAAAGAGACAAAATTTATGGTGCAAGCCTTTCTAAATATTGTTCGTTATTAGATTTCCATAATAAGTCCAGTGTATATAGGATGGTACGTCTACACAAGAACTCTTCAAAATATTTTGACCGAATGTTCAGGTCGGCCAGCACGTCCGAGCTTTCAGGAAACCAGGCACCGCGGGCACCCATTGGAAATCCATGAAAAACAACGGAGGTAGCCCCTGTAAGGTCTTTAATTTGTTCGGTCAAACATCCATACCTTCTAACTTTAGAAGCATAAGCTTCTCTCAACGTGTCTTTCGAAATTTCGTAGCGAACCGTCACGTCAACAACCACCGCTTTATCATCACGATGGAAGATCAGATCAGGTCGCCGACGTTCACCATTGTCTGTAACCAAGGTAGGCTCTTGCAGAACCTTCCAGCCTTTAAAGCTGGCCTCGGCGATCAAGTGCTCACAGATCTTATTGTGGCGCCTTATTCTCATCGACTTCAATTTCGGGCATTGACCACTTAGATGACATAGGGTCTCCCTCATTGATGTGCATCCCCGACACTTGGCGGAATCTTTGTTCTTAGATAGATTCCCTCTACTGAGGGCCTCTTTGGTAGGGTATACATTAGCTCTCATTGCCAGACACTTCACCCAGTGGTGTGGCTTCATACCAACTGGCCTAGGCAACCAGTGGTTGGCAGATCTTGAGCCTTTGAAGAGCTCCACACCTTGCCCGTGCAGGGCCAACCTTTCCCAGCTTCTCCTTTCCATATCTCTCCAATTAGAATGATATGTTCCAGATCGCTGGTCAGGCGTAGGGATCGGAAGCCCAGCCTTTTGAGCAATACCCTCGATGGCACCTACTAAACCATCGGATTCCGCCAAAGATGATATGACGGGGTCGGTCGAATGCACTAGTCTGAGATTTGTCTTGATCTTTAGACAAGGGACAAG